CAACGGAAGAGGCTCTCATCTGCCGTATGTCCAATAAAGGCAGTTTCAATAACTTGATTTCGGTATATAAATAAGCACTGTCTGAATAAATATTTACAGGTTGTCACGGAAACAGCTCTAAAGCCCAGATTAAAATCAATAATTCAGTTCTCTGAGCCAAAGTCATATTAGTCTGTTTTGAATAAGTCTTGAGTAGGAGTATGTACCACAGCAATACCACTGCTGGAGCCATCCCTGAAGACAATAACGGCCTTAGGGATAAGTACCTGAGAAATCACCTTTGGAAACATAACAGGTGTTTGTAGCAAAAACTGTATCGGCTTATCAGGTGGATAATGACAATCAATGGTTGTGTGACATTGAGCTAATGATAATGACCATGAATCAGAATATTGATTTAACCATGCTTGCTGCTTTTGATTATAAGAAATAATTATAGTGTCAGGATCTCTTCCTAAGAGCTGTCGCATCCGGGTGTGACCCTTATCTACAAGGATAGCAACTAACTCATAATATGGGTTAAGAACCTTTGGAACAGAATTTGATGAATGCAGCCACTCTGTTGGGCCTGATCTCTGCCAAATAATCCCAGTTGGTAGGGGCTTAGTTGGGCAGATTACTAGTAGCAAAGGTAGAGAGAGATCTATACGATAGTCCTGTGTTTTTTGTATTGCTTCATTTACTAATTGTAAAGCCTGTATAGCAGCGAGAGTTAACTCTCTGGGAGTTGATTAATATCTCCAAGTAATTTTGGAAAATCATTAAGCACTTTTAATGAGTCAAATCGAATCTGAACTTTTTGTGGTTTGACTGTACGCTGCAAAATCATAGTTCCCAAATATGAAAAAGGCACAGACCTCTGCGCTTCCTCTGGTGCAGTGCAAAGACCATAGTTGTGTAAAGACACCTGCAGTTCGGCACACGCTTGCGGAAATACTCTTTCCTCTGCGTGTGCGAGCAGAATGTCATCCATCTAATGGATGATATAGGAGTTCGGAAACTTTTCTCTAATTGGCAATACTGCTTGAGCAACAAAATTTGGACACAGTGTAGGACTATTAGCCACACCTTGTGGAAGAAACTTCCATTGACACCTCTTCACGGGTGCCTTAAAATTAAGTGAAGGAATGTTAAAAGCAACACGCTTCTTGTCTTCAGGATCTAATGGTATAGTAAAGAAAAAGTCCTTCGAATCTATAATAAGATGAAAATTCCAAGGAATCATAGTTGGAGTAGGGAGGTCAGGTTGAGTAGCACCATAATTTTCATAGTTAAATTTACTGCACGGAGGTCCTGTAATAACCTCCGGTTCCCTGATTTCTTTTTAATGACAAAAATTGGAGTATTCCAAGGGCTAATGGAAGGCTCAATATGCCCTGCCTGAAGCTGTTCTTTTAACTAGCTGCTGGGCTGCAGATAACTTCTCCTGAGTTAGGGGCCACGGTCTACCCAAACGGGAGCATCAAACTTCCAAGATATTTTCCCAGCTGTAATCTTACATGAGGTAGCAGGAGCTACCAAGTCCCCAGTTACAAATTTTGATATCCTAACCCAGAGCGATCATATTTAGGTTGGCCTTGCGTAGGTTGTACATGGCCTTGTTGTTCCTTCCCTAGTCCACCAAGAGAGATACAACCTTCTCTAAACGTCATGTTAGAAACTTGAGCATTTGAACTAAAAATCATAACTTTTAGCTGTGACAGAACATCTCTTCCTCATAAATTAGCAGGCAGACCAGGAAGTATATGAGGACGGAAAGAGCCCTGTTGCCCATCAGGATCTGTCCATCGCAATATCTTTGAGCTTTGTAATGGTCCTTGAGCTTGTCCTATGTCTTGCAGTTCAGTTAAAGCTAGAGCAGTGGGCCAGTTAGAAGGCCAATGCTTATCAGCGATAACTGATACATCAGCCCCAGTATCTAAAAGACCAGAAAACATTTTTCCTTCTGTCAATGGCGTCATTGTAGGTCTTTCTTGTTTAATTTGTTGGACCCTATAAACATCTGAGGAATCAAATCCAGATTTTCCCCACTCCCTAGAACTTAATATTTTCCCAGCCTTTATATAAGGAATAAGTACTAATTGAGCAATTCTATCAGTGGATAATATTTGAACATCAGTTCTTACTGTCTGAGCCATCACTTTAATTTCCCCTGTATAATCCTCATCGGCTACTCCTGGCAACACCTGAAATCCCTTCACGGTCATGCTACTTCTTCCTAACATAAGACCTACTGTTCCAGGAGGAGTAGGACCCCATATCCAGGTAGAAATTGCTCGTGGCCCCATTTCAGGAGTTAATACGTATCAGGTGGTGGGACTGAGGTCCAGTCCTGCGCTTCCTGGTGTAGCGCTGCAGGGCTGTTGAACGGTGGGCCTGCTTGACTCTCCTGGGACAAAACCACGGACCGAAGGCCTGCCTGAGGCAGCCACGTTGGACGACAGGGTTACCGAAGGACTGGTGGTCAGGGGCCCCATTATTTGGTGGGGCTGGGGGGCCATTTCCCTGAATCAGGCTCCCCTGGACATCAGAGCTAGACTTACATTTATTGGCCCAATGGGTCCCTTTTTGACATCGGGGGCATACTCCAGATGGTTTAGGTTTACCTGCCCCTCGACCATGTGATGTTGGGTAACTTCCAAAACCTCCAGCTAAGCTCCGGGTGGGACATTTGAAACAACTTCCTCTACCTTCTCCTGTGGACCCCCTATATTACCTAGAGACTGAGTTAGGGCAGCAGCCAGGGCAGACCCTTGCACATATGCTGGCCCAACATCTGTACAGATTCCAATAAAATCAGACAATATGACAGTCACTCTACAGGGTCTTAATGCTGCCTGACAGGGCTTGTTAGCATTCTCATGGGCAAGCTGTTTCACTATTATTCCCCTGCCTCTGCATCAGATACCGTCCTAGACACAGCCTGCAAGAGACGAGAAACAAAATTCTGGTATAATTCATCAGGGCCCTGCCTTATACTACTCAATTCTTCTGATTTAGCCCCGGAAGTAGGAAGGCTGTGCCAGGCCTTCATGGCACAAATATTAAGCTGTTGATATACCTGGACCGGATACACCAGATGCTGCATGAGATCTAAATATTGTCTTTCTCCAGTTAACATTTCAATACTTATAGGAATGTTGTGGGCAGCATTACGCCTCACTTGCTGTTCACTGAGATCGTACCACTCACTCTTCCACAGTAAATAATCCTTTCCTGATAAACAAGCCTTGGCCATCGATTTTCAGTCACTGGGAGGCAAGGCTTCACCCTGAAAACCCTCAAGCATCGCCAAAGTGAAAGGTGCTGTAGGCCCATACGTAGTGCAAGCCTGTTTCGGGTCTTTAAGCGTCTTCAAAGGAACAGCAGAGTGTTCTCTAACGACTTGCCCGTCTACGTGTCTCTCAGTGACTGGAAACACATGAAATCCCCTCGTATCTTCCCCCTGCTCTTCAGCTATCTGCAATCCCTGTTGTAAAGGAGAACATAAGGTTTTAGGGGTTATGGTCAAGGTAACAGTATTTTGTTTCTTAGGCCTGGTCCCGCAGGAAGGAGCTGCAGGAGCAGCCATAGGCGGCGCTCCACAAGATAATTTTGCCGAAGCCGCAACCAATCCTGTGGTGGACTCTTCCCCTGCATCATCGGAGCTCTTCTCATGAGAGGACTCTGTAAGGTAATATTTACGTTCCTCTGTTTCTAACTCCTGCTTATACTCTGGCAGCAAAGGCTCCTCATTTAAAGGAAGGGCTGAAGCCACAGTTTTCTTGAAAGCTTCATAACCCTCTACTGTACTCTTTAATTGCTGTACTTGATCTCCCTGAGGTGAAGCAGTGGGGAGTCGACTGGCAGATGGTGCAGGTCAAGAGTGTCCCCTACTAGTCTCCATAAGGCAAAAGTTGGAATAGAGCACTCTTTAGGTCCTTCAGTTGAAAAGCGTTCCCGTAAGTGCACTCCAACCCTTTCTCACGTTTCTAAATTCACTGTCCCTTCATCTGGGAACCAGGGACACGTTCCCTGTATGAAATCTAAAAATTGCTGAATCCGGTGAGTGCGCACACCACATCCCCTAGCTTTAAGCATCTGTACAAAAATACTGCGGTCCTTTGACCCTTGTTTTCCCATGTTTTACTCCTGATGATGACAATCTATTCCTTAAATTTATTTAACACGTGTTTTCTTGAATTCTACCAGGCTGCGATCTGTATTTTCTCCCTCCTCCTCTTTTGCCTACGCTTTTGCCGAGGGAGCCTCCTCACCTTACCTCATTTACACGTCTTCCCGTACTCAGGTTCCTGTTCTGGAGCCACCTGCTGCGTCCAGCAAGTGGTAAATCCTGCCATGTCCGGTACGGCTCTGGAGAATGTACCTGAGTGGGAACGGTGGGAGATGAAGAAAAGAAAGAAGACAGAAAGCTGGGATCGGGAGGTCCACTGTCCAGTGATGGCCGTTTTATTTTTGCGAGCTGCTTTTATACAAGAACGTGCGAGCTGGTGTAAGCAGTTTCCCTTAGGCAGAACGACAGTTTCTTCTACTTTTCCCAAGCCGCATCTTCTCATGACCTTCAGCTAGTTTGTCTGCCTGCGGCTACATTTGGACTTTCTTGTTCTCAGAAGGAGTTTGCGGAGGCGAGGTCACCCTTGGTTGCCCTCGCAGGCTGCAAGGACCTTGTCAGCTTACAACCCGCTCTCCGCATTGTCCCTCCCTTCAGGGTCCCCCATAGAGCCACTTACCTAACCTCCTCCTCACCTCTGTTAGGTTTTGAGTAGTGCCCATCACACAGTCGCTGTGTAATAAGTGTCTAAAAAACGAAGGACTCACACAGTCTCTCCCAAACCTCCAGTCCCCCAAGAGCTTTACTTGGAGTTTTCCACGTGGAGGTGCACTAGAAAACCCCTGATAGGGACGCTGGCAAGAGGGGAGGTCCAAGCCCCCAGGAAACCGCTTAGCTGGATTCCAGCAACAGGGAAATCAACTCATTACCGGCGCCCGCCCTCACAAGAAGGCGGACGGAAGTTTGGCTCCGCTCGGCATCTGTCATTGGGTAGAATGAGAGGAAGGGGCGGGGATTCGATCTAGAACTGGTTCTTTATTGGCTAAAATTAGGGCGCTGGAAGGAGGGATGGAATCTGGCTTCCGCCCGACTGTTCATTGGCTAAAATCGCCACGGCCCTCGGGTTCCCATTGGCTAAAGTCGAGAGCTGGGCGGCATCCTACGAGCCTCCCCAACGCGGACTGGTGCGAGAGACAGGCCCTAGCCCCGCCCCTCGGGCAAACCCTTTTAAACACCAAGTTGAAGCCAGGACACCCCGAAGCCACGGGGCCTTTGAGTGTTTGCTCTCCGAGGTCTTTCGAGTCTCGCTGAGCCCAAGGATTTAGAGAGACCGGAGCAGTGAGTGAGGCCGGAACGATTCCCCCGCGGAACCACTGAGGCGAGAGCTAGGAGAGCGCGTGGGGTAACGGACCGCAGCGGGCCGGGCTAGCCGGGCAGGGATGGCCGCGGGGGCGGCCGACGCGGGGCCCGGGATCGCCGTCCCCGTGGAGCTGCGGCGCGAGCGGCGCTTGGTGTGCGTGGAGTACCCGGGCATGGTGCGCGACGTGTCCAAGATGCTGCCGACCCTGGGCGGCGAGGAAGGCGTCTCCCGGGTGAGGACCGGGGCATCTCCGGAACCACGGGGGAGGTACCGAGTCGCGGGATTACAGGCGGAGGGGCGGGCCGCCCCGGGAAGTGTGGTTCCCTTGGCAACGGAATTTGAGGCGGGCTCTGGGCGGGGCTTTGCTTGGGAGACCGCGGGGAATGGACCGTTTCCCCCTGGGAGCGGAGGGAAAAGGACCGTAGGGGAGACCCAGGGGAGAGGGTGTCGTTTCCATCCCATCCTCC